AGGCTATAACCTAGTAGGGTGGGCGTTTGCGTTGACCGAGCTTCTGTTATATATGTTATTCGTAGGAATGAAGCTGATAGCACCCAGTAAGCTATAAAGACTCCTTGAGCCGAACTCACCTCGGAGCAGCCTGTGCGCTGCAGTGATCCTCTTACCAAATGAATCCAATCCTATAAATAAGTTTCTATCATCTAGAGCGAAAAAAGGCTTGGACAGGCGAACTAAGGAGGGGAAGTGCGCGGTTCATTTCAGAGGGTTGGATGACACGCTGTTCCTTTAGATATTAACATTTCTGTTGGAGATTAATTAGGCCTTTTCGTTTCGTTTTCGGTGGAAATCTTATTACACCTGCTAGAGAACGCTCTGCTACCATCATTTCGAGAGTGTCACACCTTGCGACCACCGCTGGCGAATCGCTGGGTTCGCTAGCACATCACTTGTACCTTTTGACGCCTGCCTGAGCAGTGCTATTTATTCTGTCTCCTGAATTTTAAATTGCTATCGCCACCCTGTTCTTTTCGTATTCCAATTGATTTTTTGATTTTTCATCTGGTATGGCATTTTTTGAGAGCCATATGGAAAGTTCGAGAATAATGAAGATGTCTAGAAAGGACATTGAGTGTCTTGTGTCCCAATTGTACATTTGAACACGCAATATTTTGCACTTGAATTCTGAGGTTACACTGTTACGCAAAACAGGAATATCAGGGATTTCTTGACCTTTTTGGCTTACAGTGGTGGTTCTAGCAAAATACACTTTTTCTGTAAGAAGTTTTATTTAGGTTGATGTCGTTGGACGACAACCGTCGGTCTCCATTGTACAAGCAAATAGCGCAGTACGTTTCAAGGGCAGAACAACTGAAAGATGCAACTAAAGTGGAGGTGAATACTTGTTTGCTATTGTATACGCTTTCCCCTGTTTGTAGCTAATGCTTATAATAAGTGTAATTACAATCACAATTTCCTTTTCTGAAAAGGATCAGAATGCATGCATAACTACTGAACTTCTTAAATTACTTAGCAAATCAGTAGTTCGCTTGAAACTCGACATTGGATTAGATACATATATCGGCTGTGCGATCTTTCATTCCTCCAGCAAAACTGCAATCAATACATATCTAAATCACACTCGACCTTCGCGATTTGCATGGGCATTGCAGTTCATGACCGTGACGCTATTTCATAATACTATATTTGTTCTGGTAATTATTACCGCGAAAAATTCTTTGTTTTTTGTGACACGCACAGATTTTCACGATTGTTTCTTCGATTTCTGCTGTCCAAGGTTTCAGGTTGGTTTCCTTTGAACAGCGTCGAATCGAAGCGAACAGTGTGGGCCACGGCTATGACAAGATCTTTGGTAGATGTCTAGATGACAAGCTGACCGCCGTTAGCGTTCAAGACGCTTATGTCTGCGCACACCATCAGGTCACTTTTTTGCTTGGATTGTTTTCAAATCTCCCTCAACTGACTTTTTCCAGATTCTGAATTTTGTGCGATTTTGTGAACTTGTTGTTGGCAATGCTCCAAATATTCGTTTGCATTACTTTGCGCACTGGATGGAGGCGCGAAATAACCAGGTTGCTTTCGACGAGCTAACCCAGAGCTTGGAGAAAGTCAACGTCGTTCTCAAAGTGGAATTCAGTCCTTCAATTCATGACAGGGAGATAAGGTATGATTTGCAGGAATTTTCTTCGAAATCGAGAATTTCCATGTTTCTTTGTTTCAGGTTCAATAACGGTGGTCGTTTAACCATAAGGTACGGGTGCGCCACAGTGCGAGGCACGTATTCTTTTGTTTTTAGAATGTTTCTAGCAATCTTAATATACCCATATATACTCTCAGCAATGTGGAATAACATATCTTCCCAGGACCGGCTGCATTTTTGACAAACCTACAATAAATTTTGTTTTAATTTACATAAGTTTATTATTTGATGGGTGGCTTACCCATGGTTCGCACGTCCCGAGACCCCTTCCCCTAAATATAGCCACATCCTTGCTCGGGGTTGTTGTTTCGCATTTTTCGATAATGTCACCTACAGCTTCCATTCATTCTTTGCACCCTAGTTTTAGAGCGGAAAGATGGGCTACGAACTTGTCGTCATCGGAAATCTCTTTTTTCGGATGATGAGACTCCGACACCTACTTTAGCCCCGTCTTACCCCTGCTGTTCACATAAGCCTACATAAACCCTACCCTGGGTGGCGGCGTGCGCCACATGGTGGCGCACGCGAACAAATACACTGGCCGTCCGTTATGGGTTAAGGTAAGCGAGGCGTTGGATTATTTCAAAAACCCCGGTAAATACGTTTTGGGTGCCTCAGACATGAACTTCAGACAATGCCATGAAACCACTGTTGATATAATGAGGCAGAAGAAGTAGATCAATATTGTTGACCTGTTTCCATATTTTTTACTTGCTCATGTAAATACCTAATGAATCTTCTTAATATCGCTGTCCTATTTTTGTGTTGGTTCAATTTCCTGATATCTTCTATGGCTGTTCATACGGTTGCAAGTACTACTGGTCTTGGTACTGTACATCGTGTCAACATTTTTTAGCTTCTAGTGAGCGCTTCTTATTCAACCATGACAAAGCTGGACTAACAGGCTGAGTTTCTCGAGTATGATCTATTAGATTTTTTGCCACGCATTTCTCTTTCTTTCACGCTTTTCTTGAGCCACTTTCACCTATTTGATGCCATTTTATAAGGCTGGTGTCAGAGTCCGCGATCCGTAGCGCGATTCGAGCGAATTGCTTGACGGATTGGCTGACTCTGACAACAGCCTAAAACCGATTCAGACTTTGCGGACCGCGCGACTCGCTAGCGTCTGCGGTCGCGTCGCGGCCTGGTTGATCACGCTCAAATGCCTCGTACCGCAATCCGACGCGGTACGCTTGCGATCGCCGTATCCGCAAGACTCGGCTAGACGGTTTTGCCCAACATGAAACTGAAATCGAGTTTCGCTGACTCCCCGCTTTTTTCCTAACAGAGCTCTTGATTGTATTACCCCCCTCCGAGGATTTCTTTGTTTTTTTGTTTTTGTTCTGAATTTATGGAATTATACAGCTGGGACGTTCGAACGGTTGCGCTTCTGTCATAGATTTTCCGAAGCTGATCGAAAAGAGGCAGCGCTCAAATTCCTAAGGGCAGAGAGGGTGAATATCGCTTGAGGATTCCTCAACGGCACGTCGAGGATTCTCTGCCCGATCAGAGACGATCTCTCGCGCGGACATTCACACTCGCCATGCCGTGCCGTCTGTGCTCTCCGCGCGGATGTTCACTCTCGGCACTACTCTCGCATGGTAGAGAGCTATGGTCGAGGATTTCCTCGACCGTTATTCACCCTGCCAAGGGGAGGTGAGAGCCTTAGGACTAAGCCTTGTAAGGGGGAGGGAATCCGAGGTGGGTGAGCCAGTTGCATTGTGGCAAAAGTTTGAATGTGTGAGATCGCAGTGGTGATCAGCCGCTGATAAGATGAGAGAGCGCAGACGAAAGCGTCGAGTGAGGCAGCAGAGGGCCGAGTTCAAGTAGTTCGTCGACCGGTTTGATATATCCATTTTGTTGTGGGAGGAACACGGCCTGCAACGTGCGTGAAAGAAGCATGTATTCCGTAGCAGTGGTACCTTCAAACCTTCATGGAAACCTCGGAGAACTATGACATGCTGCCCATTGTCATAATAATCTTAGTATTCTGTTGAACGTATTCAAATAGGATTGCGGCGTGCATAACTATTGAGGGTACGAGATCAAGGTTAAAGGGATAACACTGTGGTAATTTTTTGAGAAGTCGGTTTTCACCTCACCTACTATTTAGTTGCTATTTTATTCATTGGGGCCTTGTTTAGTTCAACGATTACAAGGCTGAACTGTTCAAAGAAGCTGAACGTATTGTCATGGAGGAGTTCCCCAAGAAGGTGATCGAGTACAACAATCTGTTGCAGGTACTTTGTTCAGTTTCTGGTTTCAATATAAGGTGATATTATGATGCATTTCATTTATTTTCGTCAGTTTCTAGACTCATCGCTTTTCTTATTCTCGACTACCGGAGATGATGCCCGATCCAGATTTGAACATTCCTGTCCCTTGCGTGGCACACCTGGTATCCTTTTATTCAGGGTCATACTTTGCGTTCGGCTTGTAGTTTGAGTATGGAACAGATGCGCATCGATCGTGCGATCGCGAATTCCATGCAATCATCGATCGATACTTATATGTTCCGCACTTTAACTGCGAAGTATTGTTCGACCGTCAGTTCTAACTGTAACTGTAACTACAGAACGATCTACAAAACGATGTCGATGGAGATGCTCCCGCGGCAAAGAAGCGTAAGCTTGCGACTTTTGATCCAAGCTCTAACAATGGTAAGACAATCTGAATTTTTGAATAATGGTTGCAAAAGTAAATTATCTGACTGTTTCGTGATTGGTGGAAACCGATAAGCTTCTAATTTTTGCTTCCTTCAGGCACTCCCGTATACGGCTTCATCAATGGCACCGTGCCTTGTAACGCACATCTGGCCGACCTAATGGATCAGATCCGTCCGCTATTGCGAGATGCTGTGGAGAACGTGAACAAGGTTGCTAAGGCTTATTTTTGCTGATTGGCTAAGCTTACCTTTATTTCACATTCCCAAGAGGCAGGTATCATTGAATAGTTTCCATTTTAGGTGAAAATGTGGATCACTCTGTTGATCCCTCGCATCGAAGATGGAAACAATTTTGGTGTATCGATCCAGGAGGAAACTCTCAGTGAGGTAATATTTCCGGATTGAAGTAGCCACTTAATGCACCGCCCATAGATGTGCAGAATACTTGGTATTAATTTTGGATTATTAAGAAATTAGCCAAGTTGTAGCAACTTTCTGTGTCTTTATTTGTTTGCTTATAGGTTCGTAATGTTGAAAGTGAAGCAGCCTCGTTTCTGGATCAGATGAGCCGGTACTTTACAAGCCGTGCTAAGCTGCTGACAAAAGTGAGAGAAGATTTCTTCCTTTATTTTCTTTCTTTGTGTGCTCATCTCTCATTGTCATGTTGTTAGCATCGAGCACTTCAAAACCAGAGTAATCGTCTGTTTAATGTTCCATAAAGCGTTCAGTTGAGATATTTTGAGATTTCCAAGCTTTTCTTCTTGGGTGCATGACGCAATGAATCACTAATTAGAACTGAATTATTTTTTCCGGTGGAATTTTTGGCACAATGCTCTACTGAAACATAAAATCTCATACTCTCAAAACCTTGTTTATAGTGTAATTCATCCATTGATAATCGATATGACAATTATTTTGGGCGCCATTATGAGTCATTTTGGTGTAGCCGTTTCTGTAGTTGCAGCTTATAGCGAATATGATGTGGTTTTACTGTGTCGCTACAAACTTACGCGTGGGGGTACTTTTCACTTCTGAAACTAGCGCCCTTTGGTGGTCGTTCTTGGTCGTCTGTGTACTCT